TATGCTTGGATTCTCTATATTATAAGCTTAAACCTTTTTGATGATGATGAATCTTTTCTTACTCAATAAAAGCTTTAAAATATATCATTACTATGATGCACTTAATTTAAATGCATCAAAGATATTTAAAGGATAATTTACTTGTAAGAAAGGAAGAATATAATGGTAATATATTTACAAATTTGAATGGAATTTAGAATAGGAGATTGTTGGCTTAAATGGATTATTCAAGCTTTGAAGGTATTGTCCTTTAGGATAGATATCCAAATCTTTTGTGGTTCACGGCGGATATTTCGAGAAGATTAAGATAGAAATTTTAGCATTAAGGGTTTTTTTATTTTATCTTATTTTTATTGCTTAAATAGGAGTTTATAGGAGAGGGGTCATTGGAATTTTGATGTAATAAGTTTTAAGATTGATTCGTGATTTTCAATGTCATTTACTAAATTTTTATTTTTTTTGGGTTGAAATTTAGAGAGAAGCTAGATCATATTGTTAGCTTTCCTAAAAGCCTAACTATGCAAGAAGAAAAATGGTCATGAAAGAGATCCATATGAGTTTGTAAGAGAGGAGTTAGTAGAGTTTTTGGGCGGTATGATTCCAGATTGGTTTAAGGTTTTTGGTGCCATTTCTTGTATTTTTTTTTTTTTTTAATGTAAAATTTTAACAGAAGCTAGATCTTATTATTAGCTTTCTAATAATTCTTAGCATGTAAGTAAAAGATTTGTCACAAAAGAAATTTAAACTAATTTGTATATAGGGATTTTGAAGGCAATGGTTGCAACAAGTGATGAACTTTTTTTTTCTTCTATAATTTGGCTCTTATTTTTCTAAAATTTTGTTTATTGACTTTTTCAATTTGAAGTTTATAACTTAAGTTTATAACTCAATGAAATAAACTTTGCTTAAATTAAGTTAGTAATAAATAAATTATAGATATTTTAGTAAGAAGAGATTTAGATTTGAGATTAGAACTAAGAGTTGAATGCATCTTAGTACAAGAAAGAAATTAATCAAAAAATTGTACTCAATCTTTAGACTATTTTTTTTTATATTTGAGTTCACTTAAGCAAAATTATGCTTCGTACAATCTTCTTGGAATTAAGGATCCTATATTCTCTTTAAAAGGCTCACTATCTTGATATCATATCAATTTACATAGACTCTAGCCAAGACAAGAAGCTTTCAAAAAATTTGAAGATATTACTATAGCTTGACTTGTACTTCTTCAATAAAATCTTTATTTTTAGCATCTTTCAAAGAGTCAATTGTTGTATGTAATGGCTTGAGTAATAAATTGCTCTAATAAATCTATTTTTAATATTATTAACAATAAATCTTTGATGTTATCTTTTAATTCATATCAAAAATAATAAATAAAGGCTTTATTATTTCAATCCATGTCACAAGCAAGATTATAAAATTCAATAATATATATGGTGGTTGAACATGATCTTTGTGGTAGCAATACAAGCTTGATCTTTTCTATCCTTTCTTGGTAACTTTCTCCAAATATAGCTGTAAATACTTCTAAGAATAAATTTAAATCATAAAGAAGTCATGAATTTTTTTTCCATCAAAGATACAAACTAAAAGGGAGTACTTCCTAATAGAAATGTACATACAAATCTAACTTGTGTAACTTCATTGGAATATTAGGAAGGATGAAATCTTAAATAGAGCTAAATTTTTTATCTTCTTTCATCAAAATTGTTGAGCATATTAATCCTTATCTTTTTTATGCTTGTAAAAGCAGGACTTCTCGCATTTGGTTCTGAAGCTAATCTACTTGCTTCTTTTAATTATATAACTTTTTGGCATAGACTCTGGACTTTTTTTCATATGTATAGAAATAATACTTCTATGATTTATATTAAAAATATATTATATTTCTATTCTTAGAGTATTGATAAGTTTATAAAGATCTACAATAGTTACAAATCTATTCTCACTTCAATTGAAAGTAGCATCCATAATCTTTCTTTCTATAAATTTTTTTTTAAATTAAAAAAGTTAAATTTAAAGAGAATAATTTCTAATTTCTAATTTCAAATAAAATTTCTATAAAATAGATAATTGACTCTTTTTAAGGAAAAAAATTATTGTTAGAAAATTAAATTATTTATTTAAAGGTGGTGATCTACAACCTTTAAAATAATAGAAGTCAAATAATCCACTCACTTCTAAAACAAGACAAGAATAATAAGTTAGTAATCTTGTCAAATTGTCAAGGACATAAATCTTAAAAATAAAAAAACTCAATATACTCTTACATCATTCAAAAGGACTAAATAAACACTCAAAGATGATATAGTGTTAAACTAGAATGGCTATTGCCAAAAATAAGAAGATTAAAAAGTCTTGAAACAAAACTTAAGACTACAAAGGCATTGATAAGAATGAAAAAGGCTTTATTCTTACTTATATAGATATATATATATATTATCTAAGTAAGAGCTACATGGTGATATTCTATAGGACCTTCAATAAATGTTGACTTTACTAGACAAATGTTTTACCTTGTAAGGCAAGTTATCTATATGTGCACTATATAGTCAGTTTGTTCTACAATCTATTAAGACATGTAATACATGGCTAATTTTTTTACTAAGTTTTTAGTCTACAATTAACTATAAATATGTATAAAGTCAAAATAGCATTTATAAAGCTTTTAAAAAGCTTCTTTAAAAGATATTATAAAATTAAACTATTTTTATCTACTTCTATCTAATCATATAGGTAATTATTGGAGTAAATTCGTTTATCAATGACACAAATGTAATTTCTAACATCTTACACTTTCTAAAGATAAAATTATTGCTTCTTGTGAAACTTGTTTCTAAAAGAGAAGATAATGTCATGAATATATCAGTTATTAAAATAAGAAGAATTAAAAAATAAAAAATAAAAGAAGGTAAGTATAAAAATATTTTGTAGAAAAGCTTTTTGAAGGCTTTGAAGACGTGGATTTAATTTTTTAAGTATTTTTAGGTAATTAATAGCTTAAATATTTGATCAATAAGTTGTCTATATATTGCATATGTTGACTATTTATTTTATAAGCTAATTACTTGTAATATAAGTTGGCCTTGAGGTGCACATTATGTATATTGGCTTATAAATTAGACATATGACTCACAAATTTGACATGTGTTGGATGACCTATAAAACATTGTCATATAGCTCTATAATTAAATAATATATATAGAGGCAAAAGTAAGGCCTTCTTCACTCTTGTCAATGTTTTTTTTGTATTTTTGTCTTAATTCAAAAACCTCTAGTCTCTTTATATTTGACAATTGCAATTTTAGTCACTATCTTCTATCTATATTTGATTTGTTTGCTTTCTCTCTTTAAGTATTATAAAAATGCATTATTTCTTTAAAGTTAGGTTATGATTCATATTGTTGACAACATACTTGAAAGCAAAAAAAACACTATATAACTTTAATCAATTATTTTAAGATTTTTTTTCACCTACATAATAAAATATTTAAATTTAATAATAATTTTTATAATATCAACAATTTAATAATTTGTTAGAATATATATTGTTCTTAGGATGTTACATGATATTAACTTGTAAGATTAGTGTTTTGTCTTTTTGTTTAATATTTTGTTGAAAAATTTAAAGTCTCATTTGACTTTTAAAAAATTATATTTTAGAAAAAAAAATAAGTTAAAAAAATTAATATGAACATCATACAACTGAAAATTATTTGTATAGGCTAAATTTTTAATATTAGATAGAATTTTAATGAGTCAAATATAAATTGTTTCTTAGAGTGATAGCCTTTGATTCTAAATTACACATTATTTGAGAAGGTAAAATCATCTAATTCATGAAGACATAAGAATATCTAATTCATGAAGATGTAAGATGTTTGTAGGTAGAAAAAAGTCATAGCATATACTAACTTAAAACTATAAAAAAAAAAAATGAAATGGTGAGAACTTGGCATAAGCTATATAAACACATGTATAAAATTCAAAACATTTAAATATCATAAACTATACATCTTATAAAACCTCAAATTTATCTATAGGTAGGCAACTACCAAACATTATTTTGTAATAAAACTATCCAATTATAATCATTCAATAGAATAAGGTTTTATTTTCAAAACATTAAAAAAAAAAACTATATAGAAGAAACAGGGAAACAAACATAATTATAACTGTGACATAAAATACCATCTCACTCAAAAACAATTAAAAAAATAAAAATAAAAATAAACATCTCTAAAGCCATTGAAGAGGGAGAACTCTCAATTACCATCAAACTTTATTAGAATGCTGTTACTATTCATTTTCCCAAATAAAAAGCATGTCTAGAAACAGTCAAGTGTAGTTTTTGTGTTGAACAAACAATGAAGAAGCCCAGGATTGTGAGAAACTAAGGGATTTTCCTCAGTCAGCGAGCATTGACTTTGAATGGGCCCCGGAGGAGGAGGCTTGTGGAGCAGGATGGATGCCTGGCTGGCTGGGGTGTTGAACAGCAGCGAGTGCGGAGAAGTAGAAGAAGAAGAATCCCTCGTTCACAGTGCACAGTAAATTCCTGTTGCTCGGATTGAATGTGGCCCTTTGTACTGTGGCCGAAATCATCGACCTCGAAGCTCCAAAAGACTCTGTTGGGTCCTGTCAGAGCTTTCCGGGACAACTGGATCCCTCGAACAAGTCTCGTGCTTCGACAAGAATATTCATCTCCACTCATGGTTGCTGTTGTTGCAGCTCTGCAACTGCAGCAGACGGAAATCGTCGCACGAAAGATACCTCGGCGAACATCGGATACAATAATTTTTTTTTTTTATCGAGCACTGTGCCCCCCTACCCCTATTCCCTCAGTCACGTAACTTGGCCCTGAATAATGAATCGTGTGCGGCTAACTGTTCCGAATCCAAAAGACCAGCAAAAGAGGGTTTCCAGAATGTCTCGCACTGGACAATGCTGGGGGCATGATGCGTGTCGTAGGCGATCTGCGAATAGAGACAAATAGTTTTGAGCCGTAGACATGGTGAGGGGTTTCGGTGGTGCTTTGGGGGTTGTGTAAAAGAAGTTTTAGCTGAGAGGTGAAACGGCCACGTTGTGTTGTTCGTTGACAAAGTTTGTGGATTAAGATCGGCCGAGATTTCAGCCACCGAAGCCGCGCATCCAGAGACTTTTGTTCCGCCCTAGCGTCCAACAAGTGGGTCGGCAGGATATCCATAGATCGACGCAGGCTTTCTGTTGGCCTCGTAAGCTCCGTGGGCTGGTCACCGGGGATCCTTACGGTGCATTCGGCGTGTCGCTGGTGCAGCGTGCGTCTTCGGTTGTCGGAAGTAGGCGCCCTCGCTCACGGTCAACCTCTTGTTTTCCGCAGTGTTGTTTCCTCATCCAGATGATGTAGGACAGGTTATAGACATTTCTGGAATGCATCTAGGGGTTGTTGGTTGCGGCGCCCCTATCTGTTTAGTGTTGATCGTCGTTGTTGCTTGTCCTGTAGACGAGTTTACGACTTTGCAGCTGCGGGGGAGGAGTTCAACAGCTGTCGCGATCAAGCCATCGGCGGCGTCGTGTAGGCACTGGAATGTGGTGATATACGCAATATGCGCGGCATGAACTTAGAGGGAGATTGCAAGTAACGTGATATTGCACGCGTGGTTTAAACCAAACAGCCAATGTGTTCTGAGCGTAGATCACTGCAGCATAGGTTTGGGAGTGTTCATATTGGACTTTCGGAATGAGCATTCATACAGGGGAATGGACGACGTTGGAAGGGCGGCTCGCCCGAGCTTTGGCCTAGCGATGATCGTGTTGCGTGCCCCTCGCAATTTGTCGATTGGCATACCCCGCCTCACTCAAGTCTGATCTGCACCTGCAAGGTGTGCGCAATTGGGGGAGTAGAAGAGGACCATTCGCTCGTCGGGCTGCTCTTAATAATTCTGAGACCTTGAGAGCGACATTGCCGTGACGACGTCTTTGGGCACCGCATGGTGATACTGAATCTATGGACTTGGAGCGTGAGGGACCAACACCTCAAGCTCACGAAGAATCATTTGCTCCTCCTTTGATTCAAATCATACACACGACTGCGTTGGATTCTTCAGCAACTCCACCATTGTCGGTAGAAGGTCACACTCCTAGCACCGCTGCGAGGAAATCGACGCCCTCTGGGCGCCCCGAAAATTCTCGTGGGCGTAGAGAAGCCTGCGACCAACCGTCGACGCTGCTCCTATCTCTCACTTTCCCCCCTAGAAATGCTTCTTCTAGCCACGAAATCCGCCCACCAGATCGTCGCCATAGTGAATCATCGGTACCGTCATTCGATCCCGATGAGCTTTTCTCTCCAACCAGCGTCACGGGAAAAGCCCGCTTTGCATTGGCGTTGGACTCGTACACCCCTGCCATCTCTCGCGCTGGCCCCGAAATCTCTACCAACTCTCCGGTGTACTCTTCCTTCGAGCACCTGACTTCCAGCCCAAAACAATCTTCCCCGTCATTCTCCTCTCTTCCCCCTTCAATCGAGTCCTTACTTCCTCTCTCGCATTCTGAATCCAAGTCTGCTCTTCCAGAAATTCGGAACCCTTCCGATGCAAGATCTGGAGGACCCTTACTAGACCTTATACCGCTATCTTTACGTCCTGACCAAACCCTCTCATTCGTGAACCCCTTGACTGCATCGAGTACTCCCTTGACACTGACGCCGTCGACGATTTATTCTCATGGTGCGCCAACGGAGTGTCACACTCCTCAGTCTCCGCCTCCATTTGCATTGCCTTCGTCTGCCACATCCCCGCTGCATTATGTCACCGAATCGGATCGATCAGGGTTTCTCACGCCAGATACGGGAGATTATCTCTCCAGCAGCGCGAGCACGTCGTTCTGCACACCGGGCGACGTGCTGCGGAATGAGATTCCCTTGCAGTCCTTGCCTGGGGCGGCCCTGAACGTGCCCGTGAATCGGGACGCCACTCGACGAAATTCTTTCGCGTTAGAGTATCAGAAGTCCAAGGATGGGGTTCCCGTTGTATCGTCGGCATCGACGCAGGAATCGACCACGGAGGGGAAGTTGGATGCGCCTAGAATTTCGTTGTCGCCGGGATCCGCAACGCACCCGCGGAGTTGTGACGTCTACATCGGCATGTTCGGGGGTGATCCGTTGCTGCTCAGGTACTCCAAATGGATGCACGCGGAGCTGGAGCTGCACGGATTGGCGTGTTTCTCTGCGGACCGATCTCTGTATGCGGACCAGCGTAGCCACGACATTGCTCGGGGAATCCTGCATTCGGCAACGTTCGGCGTGGTGCTCATCTCCCGGAACGCGTTCAAGAATCCTTACACAATTGAGGAGCTGACCATCTTTCGGGACCGGGGGAACTTGGTGCCGGTGTTTTTTGATGTTGCGCCCCCTGACTGCCTGGTGAGAGACATCGTGGAGAAGCAGGGGGACATCTGGGAGGTCGAAGGAGGGGAGCTTTGGAAAGTTTACATGGGCGAGGAGGATGGCTGGTTGGAAGCGGTGAAGGGGCTCCTCATGGTGGAGGATTGGCGAGTGGAAGCGTACAGGAAGAATTGGAGGGAGAGCATTCAGCAGATAGTGAGTATAGTGGGGTCGAAGTTGGGACGGACCAGCATCACGGACAGCGAGAAAATCCGGATAGAGCGAGCAGCGACAGAGGAGATACCGTGGCCGAGGAATGTCTACTTCGCAGGAAGGGAGAAAGAGTTGAAGCTTTTGGAGAAGATTTTGTTTGCTAATACTCAAGCGCCGCCAGTAGCGGCACAAACCCTACCGTCACGAAGGAGTGACGTCTCTAGTAAAGCTGGTGAAGGTGAGGAGACAGAACCGAGGCTTTCGAATTATGACAGCGAGAATCACGACGAGGTTTCGAATCAAAGCGAGGGGGAGCGAGGAAGGGACCATGCCGGAACTCGGCGAAGTGGAGCCCGACGGCCAAGCTCTCAAGTTCGCGAGAAGCGGCGAGACTCGGCGGATCGGAAAAGAGAGGGTGACAGAACCAGGTATACTCAGACGTGCATTGTGACGGGAATTCCTGGAATTGGGAAGTCTGAGCTCGCTTTAGAATTTTGCTACAGGCATGCACAAAAATATAGGATGGTGCTATGGGTGGGCGGGGAGTCTCGGTACCTCCGGCAAAGCTATTTGAATCTGTCCACTCTGTTGGGTGTGAATGTGGGTACGGAGACTGGACCGGGGTCAGAAAGGAGGCGAATGCAGTCGTTCGATGAGCAGGAGGCAGAAGCACTGCAGAGGGTGCGACATGAGCTGCAGAAAGACATTCCCTACCTTCTCGTCATCGACAATTTGGATATGGAGCGCGACTCGTGGGATGGGCGGGAGCTCTCAGAACTGTTACCTCGACCAGGAAGCGCAACGCACGTCATTATTACCACTCGTCTCCCTCGCGTCATGCACCTGGATACTTTTGAGCTGCCCTACTTGTCGAGCTTTGAAGCACTCACCCTCATGCGTGACGGGAAGAAGTCGGAAAGATCGTTCTCTGTCCAACAAATTGACAAGTTCAAAGAATTCGAGGACAAACTCCGTCGTCTCCCATTCGGGTTAGCCATCGTCGGGAGGCTCATCAACGAATTCAACATGAAACCCTCGGAGATTCTTGCAAAGATGGGGACAATCGATACCAAGCGAACTTTCTCCATCGAGAGAGACGACGTGGTGTTGCGCTGTAACCCATTTTTGGTGAAGCTTCTGGACGTTTGCTTTAATCTTATGGGGGGTGCGAGCGGTGCCAAAAGCCTTGCAATTTTCATGGCGTATGTTGGCGGATGGTTTGGGCCCGCACCTTGTCCCCTCTCGCTCCTCACATTGGCTGCCAAAAAGCTCAAGAAGGAGCTCGGGGGGCGGACCAAAAAGATGTTAAGCTGCTGGATATCCAAAACAAATGCACACACCGAGGCTGATGCCAGAGACCTCTTGACCAGGCTTGGCCTTGCGCGCGCCTCCATGCGCCCCGATTGTCTCTATTTCCCTGACATCATCCAGGTGAGGCATCTTCTACGACCCATGTTTACCAGGTTTAGGTTTTTAATTCCAGACACCTTGAAATACATAGCGCTGCATTTCAGCGATTGATCATCATCTTCCATCTTCAGCTACTTAAAGGGTTACATCGGGGTGATTTGACAGGTTTATTGTCAAAAGAGGGGAGGCGCGATAGCGGCTCGGTCCTTTGTGCGTGCCATTCTGAAGAGCGGCAGTGTTGTTCACAATTATGATCAGTTCTGGGCTGCAGCTTACTTAGTTTGTCGTTATGGCAGCGACCCGGCTGTGGTGGAATTTCAAGCGCCAGATCTCCTTGACTTTACAAGACGCCTTGTGATGCCACTGGCAATTCGTGCCTTCAACAATTTCTCGCGCTGCACGGCTGCCCTGGAGGTGTTACGCCTTTGTTATGAGATGTTAGAGGACGTTGAGAAATCTTACGTTTCCCAGATTCAGGATCGCTGGGATCGGTCCCTGTGCTGGAGGCGTGGCAATAGTGGTCCATCGCATCAGGTATGGCTGCATCTAGGGCAATCTTCATGCAATTTTTGTTTTGTAGTTTGCGCTTTCTGTGTCGGCCCCGTTGTCGATGATTCCAACTTTGGAACATACCACAGCTCTTAGACACCTGGGTATCACAACTTTCAAAGTCAGAATACTGTTTCAAATATTGCTGCTTGTTCCCAACCTTTCTTTAATTTCCTCTGCTCTCAGGTGGACGAGTATGTATGGCAAGACCTGACCCTCCTGAAAGCTCTGCTGCTAGAGGCGCGAGCGAAGCTCTTGCTAAGAGGCTGTCAATACGAATCTGGAAAGGAACTCTGTCGCACTTGTATCAATATACGAACTGTCATGCTGGGAATCGATCACCCGGATACTCTGGCTGCCCAAGAAACCCTGTCCAAGTTTGACGTTCGAAACAGAGCTAGCTTTTCGTAACCGTCTTTTATTCTTTACCTTCTATTGAAGATGCTACAGACGATTTGCGGAGGATCTGGTTTGCACTTCATCGTTTCAACCGATGCAGAGGAAGCATGGACGATTCAAGGAGTCGTTTCCTTTCAATGAGCATCAGGACAGTTTGGATTGTTGGGAATGAACGATCAGTGAGCCCAAATCCTATGCTTGAACCCAGAGACTTGTGTATATATACAAGTTTTTGGTCTCGATGAAGACTAGAAGCCTGGTTTTGTTTGAGAAACTGATTGATCTAGGAATGTCGGAAGCTTTGTTACTTTCCATAATACGAGTGTCAAGAAACGATCAAGAATGTTTGCAGCCGCAAGCAAATCTGTGAAGGTTAGCCGTCTGGAATTGGAGGTTTTTTTAGCCGCATGGTCACTCATTTCGTCTTGCTGAGCCCATCAGCTTTTGGTATTTTTGTTCCAGATGTGTGGAGAAAGCTTTCCTTCTGCCAAATAGCCAAAAGTTCTGTTATCTCATCAGTAGGTTTGTCTTCTACTTCATTTGCAGTTCACCTCATCAATTCCTTGATAACTGACTAGTAAAGTAGAGAATTTGATTTTTAAGCATCTTTCGAGGTGAAAAGTATTGCATCTTTTTCCACTTTCCCGATTGGTTATGAGGTTGCATTGCTCTATTTTACGCTTGTGCCTTATCGCAACTCTGATGAAGAAAGAGAGATTGAAGCAAGTATCAACTAAATGTGTCTTACTGATCAATTTGATATTGTTTTGGTATTTGCGAAAGATGACCATAAGTCCTGAAAGAAATACTGCAACACAGAACATACCCTATTTCACAATCCTGCAAGCGAACACTGTCTACCAAACTGACCGTTCGTCTTGTAGGCATCTTATAACGCTCATCAAAATTTCGCCTTGTAGCTACAATCATCTCGAAATTTTCTCATTGTGCGCATACACTATGACTCCAACCCCCACCTTCTAACAAAAAAATATCCAGAATAGTGTACCAACATTCCCCCAGAACTGAAGTACCCAAAGAATAGTGACACATATATTTCAGGCCCAGATTAATCCTGCCAAATACTCATCATACCTCTGTTTCTAAGGATGAAAAAACTTGCATTAATCTGGTACTGACAGTTTTGGAATTGTAACCTCAATAGTCAAGTATATTGCACACCTTATTCAAATAATACCCACCCAAACCTGTACAATTCCCAACACTACTTTACGAGTTTACCGCCCTTGGAGACACTTCCGAATGCGTTTCACCCTCAACCTCTTCTTTTGAAGTCATTTGGGGTCTACTTTGCTGCAATTATAGACAGAAAAGCCAAGGTTAAGCCTAGAGTGAGAAATCGACAACTGCCATCCTTGGTCAGATTCTAGAATCCTATATCCTAGCATCCTAATTGCACACATGTCATAATTGCACACAAAAATCTAAGCGTGCCATAGTCATCATATCTGGAAAGTCGACGTAGTGAACAGATTTCAATGTGAGACCAAGGAACAGTTTCAGATAAGTCGTCGCGAGGTTTTGATAGTTGTAATAAATTCTTGAGGCTTACTATCATGGAGGGGCGCCGGCCATCAAAGCCTGCGACGCTCCTTACCTTGTTTGATCTTTTCTGATTTCCTAAAAAGAAATCTAATGCACCCTTGCCACGCAAAATTTTTGCACGTTCTCCATTTCCATCAGGTGCTCCTACAGCCTCCTCATCCAGTACTACAGCATCTACATGCTCGTCTCTATTCAAGATAGTATCCGGTACCTGGCAGCAGACGCCATCCAAGTTGAAAAACAATACTCAGTCCCATCTCTGGATATAGATAGAAACATACATTTTATTCCTTTGGAAAGCTCGATTTTCTCTAGCAATGTCGGAAGTGACTGTAAGGTAGAAAGAACAGAACAAAAAGCTCTTAACATAACGGCTGATTCACGAACGCTGGAATATGTGAATTGAAATAAACCAACCTGGTACATTGCTTCAGTAAGGAGTGTTTCCATTATGGATCTCAGTCCACGAGCACCAGTATTTTTCACAATAGCCTTCTGAGCAATTCTTCGCAAAGCTCCATCAGTGTAATGGAGTTTTACCTGGCAGAACCATGCACAAGTCGTGTTCATAATGTATGTCACTCCAAATAAATATTTTTAAAAAAAATAAGCAACAGGAGGCAACAAATACAAGCATTCACACCTACTTCTTAAGGATAAAAACCAACTACTTCACCATTCGTTGCCCTTGTCAAAGCACCTGTTTACGAAATGCCAACTTCTACATTTGCTGATAGTCAGATTTTTAGTTCGGGACACAAATAATTTGGGGTGGACTAAACACTTACATTATTCATGGAAAACATCTTCTTGTACTGTTTGCCAAGAGCATTCCGAGGTTCTGTGAGGACCTGTAACAGAGCAGCAATCGTGAACAAATATCCACCGTCTAATGCGGAACATATCAAAATACGCTTAACTAGCAACAAATTTAAGAACTTTCAAACAGCATTCTGGCTTCAGGGCTCAAAAATAAACCATCATTCTATCTTTTATTGAGTACGTCTGGCATTCAAGAAACGATTATTACCTGAACCAGCTGGTCTTCGTTAAGTGCAGAAAGACTAACTAGAACGGGAAACCGTCCGATGAACTCAGGAATCAAACCATAGGAGATCAAATCGCTGCTCTCCACCTGCACAGCAAAACCACATTGCATTATTTATGAAATAAGAACCAAAGAACAGGAAAACGTTCGACTACCCATTGAAGATATTCAGGGGAGTTATCCAACATAGCTTTAAAAACCTAGTAAGTCTGTAAAATGACCAAAGATTGTGAAAGCATATACAAGAACCTCATGCACAAGCTCCAGGCAGTACGGGAATTGTAAGTGGCACATGACAGTAAAACAACAGTGTTCTGCAGAATGTCTTGTACCATTTCTAGCAAAGAAGAAGTAATGGCAGAGTCGGTTAGCTTGTTCCCCCTCATACTGGCACGAACAGGTGATCCAAATCCAATTGACGAATCTTGTTTCCTGAAACAAAAAGGTATACGAATTACAAATGAATTAGATATCACAGCCATACGATTTTGCTGACAGCATGGAGTTCCAGCTTCATGGAATCGCTCTTGAAACAACATAATGTCCCACTTAGTTTGCGTCTCAACACCAAGTTCATCAAATAATCACATATATCAATAGTTCGACACTTTTCTTAAAGCATAACAAAGTTTACCGCTCTGCAACAGTTTTCGCAAGTTCGATAAAAGCACCTCCACATATGAAAAGAATATCCTTGGTATCAATCTGCATAACTTACACTGCTCAGGTAAATGTCTAGCCAAAATAGATGCTGCCATGTTACGATAGCAGAGAAGACATAACCTGGGTATAGAAACCCACCATGAAGCAGAACCTCACAAGAAAAGTGGCAGAATCTGGGGCCAAAGATAACAACTATTTCCCATTTAATATGAAAATTACCCAGACAAATAACTGAGCACATAAGAGACATGCTTCCATAATCACAAATTATCAAAACTCAGGGCACCTGGATATGATCCCCCCTTGGATGTTTCCGTGCTCCTTTCTCTGGAACATTAACAATCTGTATCACAGCATACTAAATAAATCAAAAAGAAAAGAAAAAAAAAGGAAAAAAGAAAAAGAAAAATCCTTCTGTCATATCTGAATGCAAATAATTAGTTCCACTTTTGCAGGAAATACAGATAAGTTATGAAATGAACTAATATAAATTGAGAAACAAAGAGGAACCTACAGTCCCTTCCAGCATCTTTAATAGCGCCTGCTGAACGCCTTCACCAGATACGTCTCGGCTAATGCTCACACTCTCTGCCTGGATCAACCAAACGTTGTCAATACTAAACTATGCGGGTGGATTCACAGCCAATGATATAATAATTGCTACATGATAAGGACCAGCTTTTAACTAGGGAAGGTTACTCAGATATGTACAAGCTGTCAAGCCATGAGAGGAGACACATAAATCCTGTCCTACAATTCTATGTTACCAAAGAGAAAATCCATCAACTAAGAGACGATATGCCGTTCATTCTGCGGGAATCAAGCATACCTTTTTAGTAATTTTGTCCACTTCATCAATGTACACGATACCCTGCTGAGCAGCTGGAACATTGAATTCAGCTGCCTGCAACAATGCGTTCAGCCAACCAACAAATAAACGAGTCTCAAAAACATAATCATTAGATACATGAAGACCTGGTTTTCATCATAACCTGATTATTATCAGTACTTTTGGATCACAACTAATCAAAATACAGCCATGCAGTGGATAATGGATATTGGAGAATAAATAGATGAAGTGATTCTAAGGTCTACATAAGGAACATACCATCAAGAGTTTGTAAAGAATAGACTCAACATCCTCTCCAACATATCCTGCCTGCACGTAGCCAAAAGTTACTTGGACTACATGATATCCCACGCTAGCTTACAAAATGCCAAATTACAGGTGTAAGCTATCAATATAAACAATCCACTACGACATATACCGAAAAACTGTAAAAGAAAAAGAAGTTTCAGGTTCATTTTCCACATCTGATCTAATTCTAACTCCAAACTAGGTGTTGTGATACGGCTACCTGGGTAAGCGTTGTAGCATCAGCAATGATAAAAGGTACATTAACGAATCTGGCCAAGGTTTTGGCAAGGAGGGTTTTCCCTGTCAGAGAAGAATCAAACTTAAGCGTCTCTTGAGTTGAGCTGTCTGCGTGCGAACTGGCGATCACCAACTGAAAGACAACAAACTTAGCATTCGGACTCAAACTTGAACAGTGATAGAGGTCTGTACTACCAGTTTCAAAGCAGATTTACAAGGCGATAATCTCTGAACGTACCAGATCCAGTAGGACCCATGAGAAGAACATTACTCTTCTCCAATTCTACAACATCGTCTTCTTCACCTTCGACGCCAGACATACTGAACCTACAATTGTACCTCATGAATTTAGATAAACAGAACCTAACAATTCACATTAAATTCTCAGTCTTCTTAATTAACTAATCATACTAAGATGGTCTTCCACAAAGAGCAAGATTTTACAGCTCGTCGACTACTCTATGCTAGAAATAAAGGCGTTACATAATAAAGCAGCTTTACAAATCCGATGGAATGCAATTTCCGAAAACAACGAAGAAATCAATAGAAGTATCATAAAACAAAAGACTATCACATTTATCATGTCGAAAATACCCCTCATTTGTAAGCTTCACACTGCCTTTCTGCACAGATTCATGGTAGATACGTTTGTAGTGATTGTAGACCGCCACGGACAGTATCTGAGAAGAACAAGAACATCGCCTGTTGTATGCGTTGATCTAGTATTTTTCGTATTCCCCTCTAAAATCTCCCAATAAGACAACAAAAAGTGTTTACGTAGCATGCAGTCTAAATGCCTATATTATACTCCTTTAATCAATTCGTATGAACTTAATACACATCCTAGTAAGGTTGATAGGAAAGGCTCCTAAAATCGGTAGAAAAATACGGTGAATCCTAACACATCAAATGAGTATAATAACCGTCCAAAACGCCATCAAAACATACCAAAAAATGAACTGCTTTACTGTGCACCACCACCAGCAAAGCCAAAAAATAGGACAAAAATGCTCATGTTTAAGATACACAAAGAGAAGTGTGCACATACCTTTTTAGCCCGCTCCTGTCCCACAACAAACTTGTCCAAAGCTTGACAAATTTCTCTTGGAGTGGGAAGGTCCTTCCCAAGAAAAGATCCACCCCAGGAGTCCCTCGAACCAGAACCCCCGGATCCCCCTGAGCCTCCTGTTGCAGCGTGCACTCGGACGAGGTTGGTGTTGGGAGGACATGTAGGACCAGGAGCTACTTGCACAACACCACCCATAGGAGGTGACGCCGAACCTGCACCTTGATGCCAATGCTGAGGAACATCACTATATCCTCCTCTTCGGGCAGCTTGCCATTGAGAGATGCGTTGAACGGTTTCACGGAATTGGGCATCGTCTACAATCGAGAGTGAGGAGATCGGATTTCTGGAACCATTACCAGTGCCCTTGCCTTGTGCGCTGGCAGAGGTCTCGTCAGCTGTCCCTTCCGATTGAATGATCACAAGAGATTCGGTGCTGCCACAACTGGAGCAAGTCATCACAAAGTCAGGCGTAGGGTGAGTTGATGCCACAGAGGCAGCTAATGGGGTGCGGCAGCGCGCGCATATAGCATGGGCTTGGAAACCCTTGGATCTCGTGCGTTTCTGTGCTCGCAACCCTCCCACATGAAACTTGGCTTCTTGAATCTTCCCTCGTTCAAATGCAATGTGAAGCATTTTGGAATTGTTATCAACACCTCCGAAAGAACCAGCAACTGGTAATAGCGTGCTGAAAGATCGAAAATATTCATGTTCACATTGTGCAGGGGCAGCAGTAGAAGGAACCGACGAGCTACCGAAAGAGCATGAAGAGGCAGTTAAAAGCCTACTGGTTTTCGGTGATCTCGGGCTGGATGCCAACAAGCATTTCCGACAATTTGCCATTCCAGAGGCCACATAACTTATCTTCTTCCACCGAACAGCTGCCATTTTGCCGTGGATAATGTAGAAGATGTGGTTTCGTCGTACCCACAATACCTTGAGGCGTGAACTAGATTGCAAACCCTAACGCAGTGCACAGGAGCTCATGAAGAAAGCGGATAGGGGCCTGGGCTTAAAAAGCGTCCTTCAATCCATGCAGTGAAGTCAAGCAGTAGGTTATTTGCCCTGTCTTGTGCATCACATTCTCAGCAGATCGGCAATTCATTGAATCTGTCAATTTGCAATACTGATTCCTTCGCAATACCCAGAGAATTCTTCCCCTCCTGACTTGGCACACAACTCTTGAATCTCCACCCTTTCACTGAAATGCGAGTCCTTCGCAGCAAACATCATCAGAATTTCCGACTTCCCAATCTTACTATCCCAGCCCACTCCACTCCTAGAACGGAAATGCGATCTCCACACGTGACACACAAAACCCTAAGAACCCAGATCTAGAATTCCAATAGGCACTTCAGCTGTTCGCTGCTTAGTGATCCTAAAAACCAATGTAAGAAATTGAGATATCAAAGATTATGAGCAGGAGGGGGGAAACACAAAATAAAAACAAAATAAAAACACACCGAGCAAACACAGGATTGATCAGTCACCACAACAGCACACGAATGGCTACAGTGTGTATTCAAGCTCTGCATGTAGCTGATCAAAATCCTCCAAAAAGTGCATAGCTCACAACAACAATGGCGAGGAGAAAATAAAGACAACTTAATTCCATGACAGCGTTGGCGTTTCTTAGGTTCAGGCAAATACGGGCTCCGGCAGAACAATCCCGCCATCCAAGGTCATCGCCATGGCCATACTCAGAAGTTTCACCTGATTATCGTTGTCAGAAAAAGCGAACCATCACAAGCAGTTAAACTCGAAGGGGGAATCAACCAACGGGTTGTTGGTTTTTCTGTCCAGGAATCAATCCACCGCTCAACTGATGATGCCCTGGGATGCGCAGGATGCTCCGATGAAGGCTTGGCAGCAGATTGGTCGAGGCGCAGGGAGGGAGGGCGGGAGGGAGGGTGGCACGGAGATGAGGAGATGGTGCGGCGTTGCGAATCCAATCCGAGGGCGGAGATCGATCTAGTCCACTCCACTGTTAAGGACGAGGAGGAGGCGAATCCGCGACGTAAGCAGAGCAGAGCATGGATCTACTACTCTACCACTATGAGCGCGAATGAATGGGAATGGGGATGATGGGATGGAACCCCGCCAAAGCCAAAAACACGAAACGAAACGCGAGGAGGGAGGACCCAGGTCGGGCGGGCGGGCGGGCGGGCGGGCGGGCGGCATCGAACGGTGACTCGCGGATATGGGGCATGGGCCTAAAAATAGGAGTTGTGAAGTGGCATTGCCCCCAGAGTTGTGAGAGTATGGGCCCATGGCCTCCCCTCGCCGTTCGATGAAGCCACTCTGCTGTTAGGACTTGTCAACCATGGTGATTGAAACCACATTAATATTTATTTATTTATTTATTTATGTATTTATAAACCAATTAAGTTCTAAGCCAAAGAGACAAAGAAGTCTTCTCATTGGCTGTAAAGAAGGAAATACATGGAACATAGGAGTACATAAATTTGGAGCTTTCAAAGGCCATATAGTTTGGAAGAGACTGCTCTAAAAAGCTTTTAAAGTTTTTTTTTACCCAATAGCACATGTTTCTACTAGTTGTACAATATATATACATATATATATATGTATATTTGAAATGTTTTACACTATGACTTATGTTTTTATACTGAGATTATGACATGTGATTTTTAAGCAAAAAGTGACACTTTCGTCTTACTGAAGGTTGAGCCAAAAAATGTGAGAAGGAAGAATGTCTTTGCAGGAGATAATATTAATATTTATATAGAATAAAAAATAATAATCAACAATGTTGATTCTTTGGAGTTGGTTCTAAGTAGGCATTATGTACATAATTACCAATTTTTGATTGAATATATATATATATAGTGTTTGTTTACAAAAACCTTTTATTGGTTGAGATTATTAGCACTGTTGAAAATTTATTATGTCACACTTTCAAAAATATGAACTATAAAATAGATAAAGTTCTCTGTGAGCGGCTTCATTGGTGTTATCAAGTTCCCTTCACACTGCATCATCATGCTACATTAATATCTGTAATTAGTGTGTACCACACTATTTGCAAAGTGTGGAAACAAAACAATCACTATGTTGCATCACTTCCTTGGATATTTTGTCCATTAGAACTCAATTGTTGATTTTTTTATTTTTTTATTTTTTTGTAGAAACCCAATTTTTTAATCCATAATTAGTGAGTATTACACTATTTGAATATTGATCTAAAAAAATTGTATCATTTAAAACATGATCTTAATGGTTGACTAAGTGTTTTAATTCTAAAACAATAATAAGATATTGGTAAATTTTATGAAAATATAAAATGACTCTTAAGATTTTATATCAATAAATAAAAAATTAAAAAATTAATTGACTACTAAGGATATTAAGATAATATGTTTGTCTAAGAAAATTAAAAATTGTATTAATAAATCACTTTAAAAAGTAAAAATCAATTATATATGCATGTATTAAAAATAAATTTATATTTCGTACAAAAAAACTCTAAATATTAATTTAGTTGGTGTTTTAATAATAAAAAGTAAAGAATTTTTAGACCTAAGAGTAAATATTAAGAACAAAATAGAAAACATGTTTAAACTTAATCTATAATTATATATTTTTTTACTTTTGTTCTTTTTTAGAAATATATAAGTTATCAAGCAACTATGCAAATTTTTAAAATTCCAACAAATTATTTTCTACATTCCAACTCTTATTAATCAATTGTCCATTCAAGATTTGTCTTAGCCAAATAAAAAGTCATTCCATTGTTTAATTATTTCTTGATAATATCTTTGGTTAATTTCTACAAAGTCCTATCATAATCATTACGATTTGATTATTTTAGTTTTTTAGTCATTTTATATATATAAATATTAAATAAAAATACACTTTTTGTAACTAAATTATTTAAAAGTACAATAAATTATTATTTATATAATAATAAATATTCATATCAAAGTTTTAACTTGTAAAAATTCTAACAAGAAATCACCTTGTCTTTTCTATTAAGAATTTTTTGATATGATCATTCCAATTATTCTTTTAGAGCCGTGCACACTTTTAGATTGTAAAGGATTTGTAATTGTTTTGGAGCTAGTTAGTACTTTAGACAATATTTAATCATAACCAAAAACATTTAGATATTTTGAAATCTTAATTATTTTTCTTTTTATTCAGATACACAAAGTATATCATATGGAATTTCGAATAAGCATAATAGATTTATATACCTAAAAAAATAAATTTTAGAAATAAGGTAACATTTTAACTTTATATTCTAATCAATTATTTGTCTTAGGTGGAAGTATATCTTTACTAAGGTTCTAAATAATAGTTTTACAAACATATTTAGATACTAGTATTATTACCAAGACGATTAAATTAATTCAAAGCTTATTCTATAGACATAAATTCCTTATTTTGTATTTTATATATTACAATTTTTTGTATAATTTTTAAAAAAATTATTGCTATCTTTTTGAAGTTTAATATGAATATTTACAAGTAAAAAAACATGAATTGTACTAAATATATACATTCCTAATTTTAAGGAATAATAGGAGATATTAAATTTGAAGTTTACTAACTATTTTTTTTTCATAAATGACTAATCTTAAGCTACACATTGCACCTTAAGTCATATTTATAGTGTAATAGTTATGATTGTCTAAAAGAATTTGAGTCATAAATTTCATTTTTCTATGTATTTAATAACTTAGTGCAGTTATTATAATCTAAAGGATTGAATAAGCCTTAAATTTATTTTTTTGGACATCTTAGAAAAAAGAATTCTAAATAATAAATTTTCAATAGAATCATGATACTTACTTGAATAATATAAACATTGATAAAATTTAGAAAAAAAATCATAATAAATTATTTAAATTAAAAATTCAGTAAATTTCTTCTAAAAATTCATGTCACATGTCTAAATACCACTTTTGCAAGATTGTATCAATTTTTTATTTTTTTATTTTTATTTTTTATACTTATTGGATTATAAAATTTTGCAACCTCCTATGAGTTTTTTAAAATATTTTTTATAATAATTCATAATATTTTTTTATCCATAAAAGATCTTAATTTTATTATTAAATATTTAATATATATTTCTATTAAAATACACATCCTTTCTACTTCAATCCTACTTAGGTTTTTTTGTAGCGTATAGAATTGACTTTAGAATATGAAATCAAATTCTTAGCTATGAGATATTACCAAGATCTTGAGATTATAAAATAGTATTTTATTTCTAAAATATATTTTTTTATAATCTTATTACTATTTATTAGAAATTCCTAAGTATTCTCTTAGTTGGATAATAATTTTTATAATTGTGTATTATTTTATTTCTTGCTTATTAAAAATTTTAGTCATATTTCTATTTTTGCTAATGCTATGGTCACTCTACAAGTCTTAAAACCTCTTCTTTACAATAATAATAATAGTAAATCATTTTCAATGATAAATTTGTAAATTTGGTCATGCCTTATTTTGGTTATGTAAAAACCATGGTTCTTTAGGGACTTTGAAGAATCTTCTTAAATATCGAACTATAAGGTGAAGTGTGAGCATTGCCAATAACATTTAAGATTTTTGGATCTCCTTTCATTAATATATGGCCTTTTACTTTAGTTATTAACAATGTGGTTAGTGTATTGAACTTTGTCTTATTGATTAAACTTAGTTAGTCTTATTCCAAAAATACATATGAGTGTTATGTAAATGATTCTAGTTAATTTAGATAGTAGATTACTACACTTTGTATAATTTGGATTAATTGTAATCTAAGATTGCAAAGATAGATTTGGCAATATTAATTTGAGGTTGTCTTGATTTTTTAGAATATCAAGATTTGCAAATGTTAGACCTATTCTATTTTGTAGATTTTTTTCTTTCTAATAAAGATGATAAAAAATAAGATTTTAGTCAAGATTGGTAATTTAATTGCTATCTTTAGTATTATATTTTATGATATTGGTGTAATAAAAATTAATTTGTAATTCACTAATTTACCTCATTATTTGGTTTTTCTTTAATTGCACATGCTTATATTGCTTAGTAAGGAGTTTGCACGTATTTTTGCTTCAATTCTCATTAACTATTCTATTAATTGCTTATTACTGTGGTGGCTTTTTGATAGAAGAAACTTACAGTTTGACGTTGGTTCTTTGGCCAATATAAAGTGTTTTTTTTTTTTTTTTTTTAAGATGATCATAGAAGGACACTCTTTGACTTTGTATTTTATTCCAAAATAAATTCAACATCAAATCAGGACATGATTATAGTTGATCTAAATTATTTTTTTCTTGTATGCAACTAAATTTATAACAACTCCTATTGACTACTTGATTATGCAACCACATAAAATTGAGGTTCTTGTATTTTACAATTTTCTTACCTTTCTCCAAACAAGTTATTAAGCTTGATTGTTCTATAACTAGTTTAAACTTATTTGTTAATTTTTTTCAAGTAATCTGAGTTAGAATTCAAAGTATCTCTCATTTAAAAGATAAATTAAAATTCCATATTGTCATATTCTTTTATAACTCCTCTAGATTATTTATAATGTTGTTTGTTTGTTCTTTAGCCCTATTATGTTATTCAATTTGTTTTAAAGTAATAGTTTTGTTATTTAATTATATAAACAAACAATCACAAATTAATAAGCATAGCTATAACCACACATAATTCTAATTATATATTCATATGTGCCTACAAAAATCACTAACTAAAAATAGTCTACATCTTTCCATTGTATAAAAAAAACTAAGATATATGTAAAAAAATTGCATACATGTTTTTATATTTATTTGTTTAAGTTTTCAATCACATTCACATCTTCTCTTTCTTGAGGTTATTCTATTTATTTTAACTTAAATTATAGATAAATTTATCTTTTTAAAATAATTGTTAGATTCTACTAAACCAAACTTTTGAATGTTCTCAAGTAGTAATTCTAAACCTCAAACATTATTTTGAAATGCTATCAATATACTTTAATGGATTTCAAAGAATCTCAAATATTTTCTAATTTTTTAAGAAGAATGTTAAATAGACCTAGGTTTTTACAAAATTGACCTACCTATGATGAAGAATATGGTAATCATGATAAATGTGGTTGATTTTCATTGATTTTGGATCTAGTAGTGGAGAAATGAATCCAGAGGTTTATTTTATTATTTTTTTCATGATGGGTGGATTAATTTAGTAATAGCCTAGGTCTATTTAACATTCCCCTTTTCAAACCACTTCTTTTATATTCTAAATACACTCTAATCACTTAAAAAGAAATTATAGACCTTGATGTTATTTAAGTCATTGCACAAATTCTCTAAGTTTCAAATGTTTTTTATGCACCACCATATTATTATAAGAAAAAAAAAAAAAAAAAAAAAAACCTTTAATAGTTTCATAACAAGACATGCATTTATCAATATCTAATATTTCTAAAAACATGTTCATACAAGAAAATTGAATAGACCAATATTCATAAATATGAGTTTGTACAAATATAGGGATATATTAAGTCAATTCATCTTAATCTTAAATCAACTCACTTTCAATAAAATACCTCTCTTACTAATCCTTCTTCCTAATTCAACTTCCCACCAATGTAGAATAGTCTTCATGTTGACTATTTCTACCTTGCAACTCACTTCACATTCAAATTCTATACTTTTCTCACCTCCTTGTAGAACTAATACATCATTGAGTGCAAAATTAAGGGGTTGGTGAAAATTTACAGTCTTAGGCAATGCAAGAATAGAGACATATTGATCAATTTAGGTTTGAAGTAGATTAATTTAATATTTTCCCCTATATAATTTAATACACTAAAAACATATCTAAACCATCATTACAAAATAAATTAGTATCCTTCCATGCTTTAGATTTATGATATAAAAATTAAATATAGTACAAGAATTCAAATAATTACCTATCTAATAATTATATACCTCACTTCTAAAAATTAAAGTTGGCATACATCTACAATACCAAATCTTCTTTGTATAACAACACATTTTGTCTTCTAACTTGAACATGATATTTACAAAACAATATTATTCACTTCTATTGATTCATAGTTTTCAACAATGATCCGCTTTACAGCAGAAGTACCAGAGTTCCTTTCCATCGGCTGTTGGAATTCGATCACAACTCGGAGGAAATCCTTCTCAAAGCTCACCCTCTACATCAAAGAGATACCTCTAGTTCTTGCCAAACTTCAACTTCTGATCCAGTAATGAACCGGCTTCCAAGTTGAACACAAAAAGCACATTACCAAAGAGCTTTTCATGGATCTGGTCGTAAACTATCTCTTTGCACTAAACAAAAAAAAAAAAGAGAAAAAAAAGAAAAAAAAAAGAAAAGAGAGCCCTGGTCAAACAAAACACCTAATGAAATTACAATCGTACCTGTTACAATTTCCCTGGTCTGCCTCCCTAGTAGAAGAGCAGAAGAAAAGGACAAAATCTTTGAAGGAAAGATACATCTTGAATATTACCGCACATGGAATCTGCAAGTGTCCTAACAATCGCGACTTCTGTTTCAGCCTTAATGCTCTCAGGCTTATCAAATCCCAATCCTAGTCTCTCGTTCCTTGCTCAGTTCGACAATGCCAATGGATGAGCATGATCTGCGATCTGCTGCAACAGAAGCAGTTGTAGTCGTTTTCAACTTCATTCAAGGTACATCCTCATCGAGGCTCGAAAGACGGAACTCACCCTTCAAGAGGAGTGTCAGGAAGGCAATGCATGGCTCGAGACAACCAACTCGTGCTCATGAGAATCCTACTCGTTAAGCCAACGCCCTTTAACGGCCAGGCTATTTGTCAAGAACTGAGGCTGCTCTCTGGACTGGTACTGCGGTTCCAATCCCTGCTACATTGTTAGGGACTGTGGCTGAACTCGGCACAAAATCAGATGATTCAACAATGTTGTGATTAGTCACGCTGATCCGTTTGTTCCCAGCAGCCTCCAGGCGTTTCCATGTGATCTCCCTCATTTCTTCCACCTCCTTCGCCTTCGCTTCATCTTCCCTGTACTTGCGTTGACATTCATGGAAAAGATCCTGGTCCATCTCCATGAACATTTTTCTTACATTGAGCGTAAGCCCGTGAACAGCCTGATTCCAATGACTTCGCGTATTTCTCTCTAAAGCTGAAAAAATGATAGGTAGCACGACCTGGCGATTCTGAGCCACAAGACTCACAATGTGATCATTGTTCCACAAGAAAAGCGCCCGCTCCGCAACCTGAATGTAAATACAAATAAAGATATTTAGTGAGAAGGTAACACAACTCAAAACAGAAACAGTATCAATTTGTATGACTTAAGCAGATGAAACAAAGTCCATAAAGCTCACCAGATCTATATAATACACACAACCGAACCTAGTTCTACAAGATACATCATGAACTTGAAAAATCATAAAGAAGGAAAAAAGAAGGAAAAAAGCTGAAAACACTTCATTGAAATACATCTACATCGACAAAACACATATTTCAACTTGAAAATGCTGAATGCACGTTCTCCGCTATACTCAATATCTGATAAACGAGAAAGTGAGGTAAGATGAGCTCGCAAATCCATTTCAAATGTGACACAACCCCAGTATCCAACATTACCCTTAGTTTCTACATGAAGCACAAAGAGAGAACATTTGTTTCTGTAAACCAGCAACTCAAAAAAACTGATCAATCCTCGCTTCGGCACAATGCAAGGTTAACAAACAAACAACTAACCCATCATAACCTCGATGAATGTAACGATTAGATGACGATCCTAACTTAAACACATCGAAAAGGATATCCCTGCGAAACCTACTCAGAAGGTCAACCTTCTACCCTCTGTCCACAAAACCATTCTTACAAAATACCCAGCATGCACGAATTAATGCAGCGTATTGAAGACCACACGCGAAACTTCAAGTAAAACAGAATATGGAACGAAGTGAATAGAACACTGCAACCTAGCAAAATTTACGCAACACACCTGAAAGTGCGAACTATTCAAACAACGACCAATCTGTCGAAACAATGGCACCATGCACCGTTGGAACTCCGCGCTCTGTGTCGCCTCCAACACTTCTTCCAACTCCCCTAAAAACAGCACTTCTTTCTGGCTGTTCGTCACTGGCCAGTATCGCAGCAGCCCCCGTATCACCACGTCCGCCAGCTTGAAGTCCTTTTCCACGAACTGGATTATGCAGTACGACAGCTGCTGGTGGTACATCGACACGCACTTCGGCTTATGCAGTGGTATCAGCGCCCGAGCTAAGAAGAACTTGTGCTCCTCCTTCAAGGGCAGCGCAAACCCGTTGATGATGCTCCCCAATATCTCCAGAAGCTCCGCCACCCCGTTGTGCTTCACCGTCTCGAATATAAACCTGTAAAAAATGTTGTTTATCGCCTTCCGGATGAATGGCCTATGCACCATGAACTTTCCATATATCCGGTGCAGTATCGTTTTCAGATACTCTCTCTCCCGCGGATCCTCGCTGTCAAATAGATCCAGCAGCCGAAGGACGAACGAGTGGTCGATGTACCGCTTCGCCAGCTTCGCATCCGTCTCACTCGACACTACGTACCGCAGCAGGAACTCGTAAACAATCTGCAGGTGCGGCCACGCCGGCTCCATCGTTGGCTCCTCCTCCTCCGGATCGAAGTTGTCTGATCCTGTGTTCTCATGCGACGACGGCGGCAACGTCCGGAACAGATTCGCTGCCAGCATCTTGGTGATATCTTCGAACACTGCCTCCGTGAACTTCCCCGACCCTGAGGTCACGTAGTCCACCAGCTCCAGCAGGGTTTGCCGCTTGGTTTCCTTCTCATGCACGTTCATCGACGGATCCGTAAAATCGAACGTGTAGCAGCACAACGCCAGCTTCCGGACGAACAGGCTTTGCCTATCCGAGGTCGGCACATCTCTGAATGATGGCAGAGCTTCCAGCGCCCCATTCGGTAACTTACCCCCCGCTGTTACAAATCGACCCGCCGGTTGCGCCACTGGAACGGACCCTCCTGCGGCTCTAGTAGCAGGGGCACCCACTGCTGCTCCGGTTCGCACACTATGGTTTTTAACTTTCACGCCCGCTCCCTGCCCTACGGTCCCCGGGGGGGCCGACGACGACGCATGTGGAGTTACACCAGCAGAACCAGATGCATCCATTTTTTCATCGTTCTTCCCCTTGCTTCCACGCTGGATCACGCGCTTCAGCTTGAAAACCATGTCTAAACGGCTTCCTGATTCCTTCGACAATTGCTCAACGAGCCAGACCTAAAATCACAATCTCTTTTGTATTCCAGGCTGTTATTGTAGCTATTCCAGCCGCTACATTAGGAACTCGTTGCACCCTTAACCGCCACAATAACCCACATAGATCAATTGCAGGACGTCTCTTATCTCGAGTCCTATTCCTTCAAAAAAAATCGACATTCCATACTGCACCTCCAACTTCCGCAGATATTATCCCCGCTCTCCAAATATGCGCTCGTGATCAGCGACATCCACATGTTCACAACGATGTCGAATGACACTCGACAAACCTCAGCAATGAATCCAACCAATCCAAATTTCGTGGTCAGAGCGCACCACGCACTCTCCCATTTCGTTACAGCACATGTGACCAACGTGACCACGCAATTCTGCAGCTACCCTAAATAGAGCCTTCTTTCCTGTTCCCTCTCAATAGCACAAACATACCAACATTCAGCAGCTTCCTCAACCTACTGCTGGCAACTGAAGTCTCCGACCCCAACCCGAAACCTGTGCGCCCTACCAGCCACCGGGAAAACGCTGTAACTGATCCACAGTGCTCCAGAGCGACAAACCCTAGGGAAGCTTCTACCCAAAGGTGATGAACCTGAAGAAACCGTGGACCTCCGCCGAATCCGCGTCGCAGCTCCTCGAAATCCCTCCCCGCTCCCGCAAAAAAACAGAACAAGCTAAGCACGACCTCGAATGCCTCTCTCTCTCTCTCTCTCTCTCTCTTTTTTTCGCTCTTCCTTCAACCAACGCCGCAACAACATCAATCCAGCGATTGGCTCAATGTTCAGTTACAAGAAACACCACCACCACCGCCACATCCCTCTTGACCAAGCCTTGCAATGCACACAGAACCAGATCGAAATGGCCAAAATGGCGCGAAGAAAGGTTGGACCGCGCAGGGGTGCCAACCCTGGCGATGAGGTGAGGTTGAGGGGTGGCAGGGGCCAAGACAGGAGGCAACGAAGGAAGGAAGAAGGAAGAAAGCAAGTGAGAAAGAACGAACGAACGAACGAAGGGCAGTCCCTCCAGGAATAGACTAATGAAAGGGGGGGTTGTACTACTACTTCGTCGCGCTCCACTCCTGCACTGATCACTTCACTTTCTCACTCGCTCGCTCGCTCCGAACACGAAAGCATTCCGCGTCATGGTCCGTTGATGAGATGCAGAGAGAGAGAGAGAGAAAGAAAGAGCTTCGTTCTGCTCCTCTTCCTCCTCGCTCTCTCCCACCCTCCGTCCCCTTATGCTCGCGCCATCGCCCGCGACCAGGGTGGAAAAACTGCCATTGCTAAACTTGGGGTCACCCTAGTAATCATAAAAATGGGATTGAGAGGCAGCACACCCATGTCAATGCAGATCAATCTCCATTCCTCCAACCTGCCTGCCCGCCCCCTGGTTCCCTCCCTCCGTTCCCAGAAATCCGATCAGCGGTTGAGATTGCATCTGACCCGCAGCTGCGATCCGACGGCCCACGATGGCGGTGCCATTCGATTGAACAAGGAGGTATCTGCGACTCAATTCTACGAGGCCCGCCTGGCTTGGTTTTCCACATGTCTACTGTATCTTATATTTTTTGATAATGAAAAATAAATAAAAGAAAAAGGTATAACATTCTAAGTCGTTATATATATATATATATATATATATATTTAAATTTCTTGTTGGTTGTTCAATCCAATGTTGGCTCGATGTGGAAACGTCGATTGGCGTTGGTCTCTCCCACGACGTCATGTTCCCGTTCCATGTTCCTCTCTCAGTGTTCCCGGTTCTCGTTCCCATCACATTGTTGTCGTAGAATCTAGGTTTCTTCCTCATTCCACTGTTCTGTTCTTTTTAGGAGATTTTCTTGCTTGATACAAATATCTGGATTTTAGAGCGTTAACGGATGAGAAGCTCGGTGACTCTGGAATCACTCAACTATGAATGGGATTTCATCCATTTGTGATTCTTTTTTCATGGAATGACGTTTTATCCGTGACTTTTGAGGACAAACATTCCATGATTGTTCCAGGATTGAAGAATTTTATCACTCTATTGGTTTGCTTTTCATGAGTTAAACAGAATATTCTTTTTTTCAGATTGTTTTTATTTGTCAAATTTATCCAAATTGTGATATTCGTTCATGCGATTCTTTTTCTTTTTGAGTTATTTTTTTTACGAATTATCAACTATATTTGAAATAACCTATAAATATTTATTTTGAACTCACTATAATATCCAGTTGTTATTGAATTTGATGATTTACTGAACTCAATGTCAACCTTAATATTAACTTATCAATTAGTAATAAGAATAAATAGTATACTTCTATATGTGGAATTTTTGTGCCTAAAACTGTCAATCTAAGAAAATCATAATTAGATCCTTTCAAATTATTATTATTGTTATTATTATTCTTTCTTTCAATTGAAGTTTGATTGATATTGGATTTAATTCAAATATAAATCAAATCACATTCTCTTTAAAATGAGCAGCAAGTTATTATATGAAAACTTATTTCATACTTACATTGAATGAATTTATCCAAAGTGTTGGCCATACCAATATTACCAATGACCACTCTTCCAACTAAAGTTTCACATTAAAAAGTAATAAAAAGTAATAAAAAATAATCCTTGATTGTAACATATACTACTAAATCTTTTTACCCATTTCATGATCACAGGACATTTTCAAGTTGGTAATATCAATCAGAATACATTCATTTCGAATTATTTGTCATTTTTACAAATGAACCACATGTTTGATTTATGGTAACAACGTGTCAATGCTGCATTTGTACCATCAACAGAATCTCTGAATAAGACCATTTTTGGGTTTTTATTTTTATTTTGAAAAATTAACTAAACTTTACAAGCTTAAGAACTATAATGTTTTTTCAACTTAAATCCTAATTCAATCATTGTAATGATGAATTATACAAACACATTTTGCTATTACTGCACAATAATTAAATAAAATAATGAAAAAACCTATGCACTTGCAATTATAATAATACTAACAATTACAATAAATGGAACACATATGAATTTTTTTTGGAAATATGGGCATGAATAAAAAAATTGTAAATATAAGCTTGTAATTATATATATATATATATATATATATATATAAGGAGTTGTTAAAGCCATATCCTAATGTTGGTAAAGCCATACCTCACATCATCATTTCATAATTGATTCCCTCCATCACTCGTCTCCATCCCTTGTTCTATGTTCTCCATTTCCTATTCCCAATCTTTGTTTTCTGTTCTATATTCTCATCCCCCATTATTTATCCCCAAAATTAATCATTATAGGGTTTGGAGGATGTGGTTTTAACAACATTGGGGTGTGGCTTTAATAACTCCTCATCTATATAATAAAAATATATAAAGCTTTTTATTTTGATTAATCATGTATTTTTTAATCTTGTATACATTATAATTAATATTTAATTATAAATTATTTCAAATACTTGTAATGATTTATATTACATATATTGTTTTAGACTCCTTTATGAAAACAAATTGCCATCAAAATTATTTAGCAATATTTAATAACAAGATATTTATTTATTTATTTATTGGATATGATTGTTATATATATATCTATATACATATATATGCATGTGTGTCTATAAGGCATATATTTTTACATGTATATTACACAAATAGGTTATAAAAAATATCTTAATAATTTAACTTTTATGAATATGTAGAAGATTTTATTTTTTTTAAAAAGGAGCATATGTTGACTTATTTTTTAGAATAATTGTATTACATTCAATTATCTGGATTTTCATTTTATTCTAAATTCTTTTAATGATGTCTTGAAATTATGAACCTTCAAAAAGAATCAGTAAAATATGACTAGGATTGGTTTCTATGTAAATTTTGATGCTCTTTTTTTGTTTTGATATTTTTCAATATCATTGAGAAAACATAATGTATTGAATATATTTCCACTTTTATCTTAAGTAATAAATAATAAAAAACACATGAACAAATTTAAAAGGATTTTTTATAAAAAGACTACAAAAAAATCAAATAATCTTATTTAAATTGGCATATACTTAAAAAAGATATTATTATGAAGTAGAAAATTTAAAATCTAAGGTTGTAATTAAAGAGAAATTTATCAATTCATACACTACTATTGTATTATTATTATTATTATTATTATTATTTTCTTTTCATACAAAAATAAAAAAAGATTAACATAAAAAAGATATGTCAAGAAATAAAAATTTGAACACATTGATACATTGAACAATCTTTAACAATTACAATCTAGTCAATCTACTTGGCTGAAGGAAAAAAAAGAAAAAAAAGAAAAACATAGTTAAAAATCATATATTAGCAAAATTTTAATAAGCATCTTCTAATAGATGGTAGAAAACTTGTAATGGAAGATTGTGAAAATCATTTAAAATAAAATTTGTGAAAATATTTTTTTTTTTATTATTTAAAATAAAATTTTAAGTGTATATATACATATATATATATATATATATATATATATATATATATACAAAAGATAAATCTATGTTGTTGTATTGAAATTTGATTAGTTGTAGGACACATATTATGTTCAAGTTCCAAAAACCACTTTATGCTGGTACAAATAAAACAACTATAAACCAAATTTGGATATTATTAAGAAATTCTTGACATTTTTTACTTAAAATTAAACTTAAAAAACCATACCTTTAATGCAATATTTTATGTGATGGTTTAAAAAAAAACTAATATAATATTTGATTAATCAATTGGAGGCTCTTAGTATAAGAAATTATCAAAACATACTTCCCATTGTCGTAATGTAATATGACTATATAATGAAATTGTAATCAAAGTTGAATTTCTAATTAATATCTAATTATTTTACTTCAATTACAATTTGAGGTATATAAACATGGCTTTTATAAAAGTCTCTTAGGTTATTTCCTTATCTTAATAGTTAGTAGGTTGAAGGTTAGTTAATAATTTTCCTTCTAGGTTGTAGAGGCTCTTCTACTACCTTAGAAAGACCATAAATTAATAAAATCAAGTTAGAAGAGATAAAAAATTAGTATAGTTGGTACTAGGGTTAAGTTGAGAATGGGGTTGGACTAAAAAAACCTTAGGATAGGTTAAATTGATACCCAGGGGTCGATGGTTTGTGAGACAGGGTCGAAATCAGATCTGTGGCTACTAAAAAGACGGCCTAGGGCAAAATGTGGAATCATTTGAAGATCAGAGGTTAGAATTTGAGAGCTAGATTGAAGTTCTTTCCGGAGACATAAGAATTTTTTTGAGAGGATTTTGGAAGACTTAGCAATTATTATTCAAAGTCAGGGTTTATATCAGTGATTTGGGTTTTATATAATATAATTAGGGCTAACAATTTTGGCTAACAATTTTGGCTAGTTCATGAAATTGGTGTGACATCTATAGTTGAAAACTTAATATTTTTTGGATTATTGGGTGTACTAAGTGTATACAAAATTTTATGATAATCTAATGGTGTGGTTTAGAAATATCTAGTTTTTAGCACAAGAGGGTTTCAAAAGGTGGCAGTTTGAGGTTGGGTAGGATTTCTATGATATCTAAAGATCTATTAATCAGATTAAGGTGAAATTTGGCATGGTGTTGAAGGACTTAAAGATTAAGCTACACACCAATTTTGAGACAAAGTTAATGGTTGGAAAAGGAGACATCATTGCTGGGATTTTTGTTTCACTTTTCAAGTTGGCAGGCGAGTGACATCAATGCAATTTTTGGAGGTTTTGTCACAATCTGTAAGTTAGATTGGGCTATAAATTCTTGAGCACATAGAAGACTTACATTGAAAATTACATGCAAAATTCCACATCAAGAGGATGGTCAGATTGGATGTTAGAGCTTGTTAAAGCTCACTAATTACGATTGGGGCTTACAAGAAAAATCTAAATTGCTTAAATATGAAAGTAACAAGGTAATTGGGATTTATGTATAGTTAAAACTACTAAGAAGAGTATTTTAAGCACTTTTGAATTGAAATTCAGATTATATTCTTCTCGTATGGGTGAACCTATTAGGATTTCTTGATTACTTCTGAAATACAATCTCACCTTTTACAGCTAGGTGTCCGGTGTATTCTTGAGCAAAACAACACATAATATGACACCATAAATTCTTAATATACAAGAACATAAAAATACACAAGAACATGTAAAATATAAGACAGAAAAAATCTAAAATATTTTTAAACATATAGTAGATTAAATAAAAAAATTTAAGTAAAAAAATAACTTCTATTTTTAATTACCATTGATTTAAAATTATGCAATCTAATGAATCATAGTATATAATCAAAATTA